GTTCTAAATATCTATGAAAACTTTCGTCACTCCTATCGCACGATTGTCACACTACGATCACTCGTTAATGTGTTACACACATGCATTGGGCTCATTGGTGGTAACGGTTATTTCAGTCACCTAACTTTTTTCTTAATCATCTGTAAAATATGCGTGGGTTGTCTTCTGTCATTGTTGTTAATATTTGGTTAATATAGAAAAAAGTAGCATTAATAGTTCATCATTATCATAAAAACAATGGCAAAAAGGTGTTTGTGAGGGCTATACGAATTGGTGTTGCTATTTTGGTATGGTATTTCATAGTTTACTTGATTTTGTTAAGATTGACGTTGTCAAATTACCTTTTTTAAGCTAATCTTTTATATTCGATAAAGGTATATGAATGTTTAAATATACAATAATTAATATTTAGGCTACAAGATCAATTCATATTTGTTTTCAAATAAAAACAATAATATGTAATTTTTGGCGTATTGAATATCAATAATATAAAAAAATACTCAAATCTTGCGAAAAAGTCATAACAAAGAAATTTAAGAAAATATATCTTCGAGTATATTTTTTTATAAAGTTCGGTTGAGTATTTTTTACCGAGTTTTTGATTGTATACATTTTAAAGGCATTCTTCCCAATATGTGTGCGTGTAATTTCTTATTTCAGGTTCGCACACTACTTCGCAGAAAATTTGCTATATATTTCAGGTTTGGCATAGTCCAATGTTAGCTACAATGAAGTCATTTTAAATGTCTGCGTTCCAATTTTTTATGAGGAGGTGGGTAAAATACCTCATTGCAGAATTTGTTCAATATTGGCCTATAATTGTTTATAAACCCTATACAATTATTCCGCCTTTGTTAAATTGTTTACACTTTATAGGCCTACTTGTTGCAATTTATCATGTTGGTTTCTCATAACAAAGAAATTTAAGAAAATATATCTTCGAGTATATTTTTTTATATTACCCTCCTCAACTTGACCCAATTCTCATGGAAAATGTCTGTAACCTGCTGCCTATACATCTAACATATTTTTCTGGTTTGAAAAACAAATCAGCCCTATAACAAACCAATTTGTTTATTTATTTAAGTTAATTAGTATTTTTACAAGATTGTCGTCGTTGTCATGTGTGATGTGACGACGATGACGACCAGACGAGACGGTGGTGACCTTTTTTGCTCCATTAAATAGTTTTGTGTGCTCAGTTGGCTTTTTTGGTTATTGGCCATTATACGGTAGATAAATAGACATTTATGGATGTGTGTCTGTAATTTGAAATACTCAAAATTTTATACAAATTTTGTTTATTTATGAATGGAGAGATATATGTCTTCTGCTGTTGTTATTTTATGATATAGCTGTCTGTGTGTAATTAGCATTGAACACACGACAATTATTTGCATTCATGTGTCAGTTACATTTTAGATCAAGGATTTAATTTCTTAGACTTTTTGGTTTTTATAAGGTTTTTGGTGGGAATCTATTGTAACACTAATTCGAGAAATAAAGACGTTTAAATGTTTAACAGTTTTTGGTATTTAATATTTCGTAATTTTTCATTTGTCAGTTAAATGATTTTTATCATATACATACATATTTTAGATAGTAATGATAAGGTCAAGTATGAAATATAACTGTTATTTATTATTAAATTAGGAATAAAATAAAAAAACTGGACTAATTTTCTACTTTATATTAGTCAAGAATAACAAAGACAAATTGAATTTGAATCCCCATGGTAATACATGGTATAATAATAAAAGGTAACAGCAAGTGTTGTTGTACAAAAAACGATACAACAACCACATGGAAATTTGTTGTTATAAGTTCTACTAGTGTCAACTCATTTGACAGAAAAATGTAAACAAAGAAACAAATTATCATCAAATTATTTTTATTTTGAAAATGGAATATTTTCGAATCCTCAAAATAAAAATTGAAAAACATGAATGAAAATCTATCAAATTTATATTTCTATCGCTTCCACATCTTTCCTTTAATTGAGCCATTGCCATATATATGTATGTGTAACACATATGACAATGCTGGGAATAGCGAGTAATTCCTTCAAGAAAGATTTGCTTCCTCAAACTTTCCCAGCAGGCAGATTGAGTAAATTGAATACGGGAGCACATTAATAAAGAACAATTTCAAATTGTATGCGTTCCCAATTTTCCTGTTGGGTGATTTTTAAAAACATTATTTGTAAAATTTATATTGACACTAGTATTACGTTGGAATCAAATCAGCTGGGATTTGCTGTTACCTTTTATAATTGTACCATGATGGTAATACAAGGTAGGATATAATTGAATGAATAAGAAAATGCAACTCTGTAGGTAACGACTAGTTCTGTCAGATATAAAATAAATGATGGGAAAATTTGACACCCAATGAGAAACTAAAGTATCAAATTAGAGCCATTTCGGTTGACAATGTGCCATAAATTCCCAAAAATTTCAATAATGGGGCCGAATATTAGGGAGTACCGTTTTATGGCAGGCATCCTAAAAAGTAGGCCAATATTGATAACTTTTGGTAGGAAGATTTTATACCCAATTATAAACCAAAATACCAAGTTACATCCATTTTATTTGAAAAACGAGCTTAAACTCCCAATATACCAAAATTTGGGAGATATCGTTATATGGGGACTGACGTAAAAAGTGGATCAATATTGACAATTTTTGAATTGCATTGTACATATGTATCCAAACAATTTCATCCCAATTTCATCAAAACGAAACGTGTCATTTGGAAAAACATAAGAAGTTTGGTGCACCAGTTACCTAAAATCGGACGAAAATATATATGTAGAAGATATATCTATATCGGAACCGATTTTCACGATACTTAGCACACCATTCTAGACTTAATTTAGTACGCTATGTCAAATTTCGTGCAAATCGAAATATATATAGGTATTTTGGTGAATCATTTACCTAAAATCGGACGAAAATATGTATGGGAGGTATATCTAAATCTGAACTGATTTTTTCACATTTCAATAGGGTTCGTCCTTGGGCCAAATAAATAAGCTTCACCATCATCCAATTCGAATCAAAAATGCGACCTGTACTTTGTTTACAATTTAACATGGACAGACAGACGGACATGCATAAATCGACTTAAAAAGTGATTCTATGCATATTCTCAAAAGGTAACATGTGTCTATCTCGTTTCCTTTTGCCTGTTACAAACATATGAATAAAGACATAATAGCCTGTCATAGTGTGGTGAACGGTATAAAAAGGTTCCCAAGCGCGTTGGTCTTTTGCGTCGTGGCCTTCCCCTTCTACGTGAACCATCAGCTGGTTCGCTTTTATATGCCTTTTGAGCTGAAACTGATGTCATTATTTTTAATTATAGCGGCTTTGAAGCTGTAGTTTTCAATTTCCACAGTTGGTCCGAGTCTACTGGACGTATTGCGCGTTGATACCATCAGGTTGGCATTCTCGCCATTTACCGCCAGACCCACTTTAGCAGACTCCTTCTCAATTCGTTCAAAGGTGGCTGTTGCCGATCGCAATGTTCGACCCATTATGTCGATGTCATCGGCGTAGGTGAGTAACGTGTGTTGTTTGGTGTACAGAGTGTCATTTATGTTCACCATTGCCTCACGTTTGACGTTTCCAGCAGGGTTAACACAGATCACACGACAGACTGTCATCTTGTCTGAATCCTCGTTCGGTATTAAATGGTTCCGTGAAGTCCTTTCCGACTTTAACTGCTGACCTTGTTAAAGTTAACCTGCATAGTCGAATTAATTTTGCAGGAATGCCAAACGCAGACATGGCTTTAAACACCTCTGATCGGATAGAGCTGTCAAATGCGGCTTAATAGTCGACGAATATGTGGAAAGTGTCGATGTTTTTTTCGTGGTTCTTTTCCAAGATTTGGCGCAGAGTAAAAATCTGGCCAGGTCTGAAGCCGCATTGGTATGGTCCAATAATGACATTGACCATTGGCTTCAGTCGTTCACACAGCACGCTGGATAACACTTTATATGCGATGGGAATTAAATGTATTCATCTATTGTCATGTCTCTTTTTTTGGTGCACGCGACACAGGATGCTGAGATTCCAATCATTGGGCATGCATTACTCTAGCCAAATTCTACTAATCAGCTGCTACATGCTCCTGAACAGCATCTGACCACCGGTATTGAATAGTTCGGCTGGTTTATTATTCTTCAGACATCATCTTGGCCAGGTGGTAAACAATCTATACCGCCTTATCTTATTGGCTCTGTGGTATCTTCTTCACCGCCAATATTTGATACGAGAAGCTTTTCAAAATGCTCCTTCAGGATTCTAAACACGCTGTATGTATCTGTCACCAGGTTTCATCTTCACCTTCTTCATCTCTAAAGGAGGATGTGCCTGCACCAAAGTCTTCGGTTTGGTGTTTTACTCGTTGGTAAATTTTTCGGACTTCATTCTGACTCTTGTACATCTCAATTTGCTACCGCTCATATTGTTATTGTTCTTTCTTCTTTTATTCTGAAAATACGTTTCTTCTCTCTATTTTCCCCCGATAATTCTCTCTCGCGTTTTTCATTCCATGGCTTCTTTAATTAATCGAAAATCACATTTCAAATCAAACTTATCTGTACTAAAATTGGATTATACTTTTTACACCTCCCACAGGTTTCTATATTGAATTTAAATATGAAGACCGAAGTTTTAATTTTTGACGTTGTTATAAAATTATAAAATAAATACACCTGCTTTGTTGAGTTTATTTAAAATTGTCATAATATTTCAAATTAAATAAATAGTAATGCTAAATCAAAATACAATTTTATGACTTAGAATACACCACACATTCATTGTTTTCCTTTTTTATAAATGCATTGACCTAAACTTAATATAAGTTAAGATGGTAAAAAATAAATAAATTACGAAAAAATCACAATGATAATTTTGGAATGAACCCTATCTTAAATTAAGTTTAAGTAATATTTGTGTCCTAGTGTTAAAATCGCAAAAAAACATTTGGTGTTCTTTTTTTATGGCCACTCATCTATCTGTTTGGCATATTCATAATCGTGAACGGTGTGGAAAGACAAACCATCACCCTCCGGTTTGTGCCATGATGGTAATAATACCGTACGCCAAAATGTCCTATAAAATTAGGAATTTATTATATATGTATAACTTGTTAAATTTTTAGTATATGTTTAGACATACCTTCCCCTAACTAAACCCAAAAATAAACGCCAATTCTTTTTCGGTCCAAAATTATAAGGATTGATGTACGTCTTATTTTGTGCCTGGTAACGTTTACGTTCCGATTGATTTATATGAGCCTCAATACTGGTCTCGCCACGTGTAATTAGCTTTGCATGCCAGCTGCAGAGTGTGCCCAAAGCTATTACCACTGCCACACACATAAATGCCATAAACCATAAGGCACGGCGGCGTGAGGCAAAATGTGAACTGTCACTGCCATCAAACAGCTCTGAAGGGGTGGGTAAATTATGCTGGGCGGGCAGAAGTAAATCTTCATCATATTCATTTAAGTGGGTCTAAGGAAAATTGAAAATTTATTTGTTCAATTATTGTTATTCTAAAATTAAATTATTAGTTCTTACCACGGGGATAATATGTCCACTCAAGTTTAATTTCACTGGCTGCCCTTCCAATGGTTCCGTTTCAGTCCAATTTTCACCATGATCCAGCCACAAATATTTATAACCAATTTCAATACCAAACAGTATTAAAAATAGACACCCCAGTGTCGTGTATAGCATATAGAGAAAGAAATAACGATGATTGCCATAGCCAACGCAATTGTTAAGCCAAGCTGTGTGATGAAAGTTGGAGGGGAAGGGAACGAACGACAATATAAAAATATACCCATTATTATTTTTAAAATTATTGAATAAATTTTCAATGATCCTTTAATGCAGGAATTGTGTAAATATAGCTTGATTACGAAATGTATATGGACGGATATGAATCAATAGTCTTATCACTTTATCCTGATCAATGAAATACTTTATTTGTTATAAAATTTAGGATGATACCCTAGACCTTTTGGAAATGAGGAAAAACCTTTGTGAGGACTTCTATAAACCAAGAAACTTCAATGGTTGTTTGGGAATATAAGCGATACGTAATGGAAGAATATTCAAACTTGTCAGAATGTCGCCCTGAGAACTTCGACAGGGTGCCTACCCATGACATCTGTAAACCATTTGCATTCATTAAGTTGTCGACGCACGAGAGGCAAAGGTGAACAGAAATGACACTCTGTACAGCAAACAACATATGTTACTCGCCAACGCCGATGACATCGACATAATGGGTCGAACATTGCGATCGGTAATAGCCACCTTTGGACAAATTAAGAAGGGGTCTGGCAGTAAATGGCGAGAATACCATGCTTGTGGTATCTACGGGCAAGAAGTCCAGTAGACTTGGACAAGCAGTGGAACTTGAGAACTACAGCTTCGAGGTAGTTAACAATTTGTATACCATGGTACTGCCATAAATAAAACTAATTACATCAGTTTTGAAACTCGAAGTAGGATAGTGTTGGTCAACGGATGTTACTATGGTCCAAGTAAGCAATTCAGGCCAGACCAAACTCACACTCTACAAGACGCTGATACTACCCGTGATGTTATATAAATCTTAAAGCACGGGTACTTGCGTAATCAGATGAGGCAGCTCTTGGAGTGTTTGAGAGAAAAATTCTCCGAAGATCTATGAGCCTATCTTCGTTGACGGTGAATATCGCCGTCAAATGAGTACCATCTATTCTCGGACATCGGCATTGGCAGACGTATCGAGCTGCAGCGACTACGTTGGCTAGGTCATGTATATAAAAGCGAATTAAATGGAAAGATCAAGTGGAAGAGAACATTTCGAACATGGTCTTTTAAATTGGAAGAGCAGTGCGCCTGAGAATTTTTTTAAGCCCGGCTTATGGAACAAATGTTCTGTCACAAGCTAAGTAAGTACTGTAAATAATTTGCAAAACGTATGGTCTCGTATCGACGACAGATCTTTCAAATGAATGTCCTATCAACTTTTATTGTAGTATGTAGGACAACCATGAATGTAACGGGGAATCAGGATTCGATTTCGGAGAGGGAGCTGAAAACGGCTACAACATCAAAGAAGCAGTAGGCGCGTAAATTACATGCATAAGTACTTGTATTTATTTATGTTATTCCTATTTAAACCTGCTTCAGTGTTCTTCATTGTGTTTTGTGTTGGGACGCTACAATTACCTTGAACAGATTAGAGTGCTTAAAGCAGGCTCTAAATGCTTGAATATTTGTACATAGAATATTGTAATAAGATCTCTGTTCTACATTCAATGGTTTTTAGATCAAGAGGTAATGATTAATAGAATCAGTTTGTGGACATTAATATTAGGACGCGAGAGGTGAAATTCTTGAAAAGTCGTATGACAAACAGAAGTCAACGCATTTGCCAAAGATTTTTTTCATTACTCAAGAACGAAATTTAGATGTTCGAGGCGATCAGATACAGCCTTGGTTCTAACCATAAACGATATCATTCGATTGAATAACATTCTCACGGAAGTATTGACCCAGGCTATGCAGTTCTTAACTGCCTAAAAAAAGATTAGGATTGTGCATCGCAGCATTTCTGTCGGCAACACCGACCGACACTTTTTACTTGTTTTTACTCTGTCTTTCTGTCTTCATACCATACAGTTTCGCCCCTAGACTTGTACCCAGTATTTCCTGATTATAATTTCACTCCAATATTTCCCAAATTATATTTCTCAATTTGCAATTACTTTTTATGCATCAAACCACTGTACAAACTCATGGTATGTTACTTGATTACAGCATCTCCTTACAAACAAAGAACCATTACCGGCATAACATGTGTAAAATTCAAGACAACAAAAATGTTTTCCCCTTTTTAGCAATAGTTTTTGTACTTTGAGATTTTTCCATTAACGTAAGTTCTGCAGAAAATTGTAAACATAGTTTTACACGCGTGCATTCCTAAGGCATCACTGACCATCCATACAAAACAAGTTTTTTCTTTTGTTTACGGCATTGAACTTGATCTTGAACTTGGGTAAATGTACACATACCCATTACCAAATATGGAAAGTTACAGTGCTTGAACAATCTATAAAAGGCTTAGCTTTGGTACTCTAACAAGGATAGTTTGTTAAAGAACCTTAAAGAAATAACATCGTAACGAGAAGTGAATAAATAAAGCTCAAGATGAAGGTAACATTTTTTAAAGAAAATAAAAAAAATAAATAAATTCCTACTCCATTGCAGCTAATTTGTGTATTTATGCTGCTTATGATTCAATACATTTGGGCTGCCAGTATCCTGCTACCCTTAACAACTATGGTGCGTACACCCCAACATGATACGGCGATTGTGGAAAGTTCACGGATTAATGGTAATTTTGCCTACAGTACTGTCGAGGGTCATGCCTATGAGACATTGACACCAATAATTGGTCATATTATTGCCCCAGATCCCTTAGCACCAGCTGTGAGCTACGTTTACGTGGAAAATTAATAGAAGTGAATGTGTGTGGAAATCTTAAGATGTAAAATGAATGATATAAATAATGGTGACATGAATAAATATTATATTTGAAGATGTAAAATTTAATGAGTTTTCTATTTCAAATACTTACGACAATGATGATCCATTTTGAGTATGCACTTATTACAAACTGAGCAATGATGGGTACGTGGTGGTTTTGGGGAAATACATTTTTTGCAAATGCCAACGACTTCTTTCAAAGAGGCTCCCTGGAAGAAAGGAAACAAACAAAAGATTTAAAAATATTGAACAATTAATTTTTTTCAACAATTATCACAGCAATATGCGTGGATTTTTTAAAGTCTAATTTATTCAACAATTTTTGCTTTTGGTGTGCTTGTGTTTCTCTCAGTTATGGTTTTGTACTTACCTCAGGAGGTTCTCCGGCTGGTGTTATAACCGCCATGACATAATGAAATACAACATTAAGTAACAGCCAATTACCAATTATGAGGAGGATAACAGTGGCAGTTGGACTTTTTTCCCACCAAAATGGAAGTCCGATCCAATAGGCAATACTAACAACGGCAGTGGTTAATAAGGCAACGCCAACAACAAAAAACTGCAATAATTAAAAATAGGATTTTTCATTAAAAATGGGGAAACATTTTGTAAAAAACTAAAGTCAAGTTTAAGGGCCGATCGCGGAACGTATTGGAATTGAATAAGCTATAGGGCATAATTGCGATATAATTTTTGGCGAAAGCTTCTGGCCTGAGATGTAGGCCTTCAAAGCTTCGCTGGGAGTTTTGTAATTCCCACTCGTTGTAGAATTAGCTTTGTCAATATTTAAAGTGATTAATGCCTGATTAGAAGAAATCCCGATTCCTCTGCAATTTGGCTTTCTAAGTCAGGTATATTGTCATTTAGAAGGATATTCCAGTTAGACAGGTGGTGGGATCTGTCCATAGAAGAAAATCTGAAAAACCAGTCACCATCAACAACTTTTATTTCAAAAACCAGTCACCATCAACAACTTTTTCAAAGGATATTTTGTTTATACAGTATAAACTTGATAAAATCAAAGGATATTTTGTGTATATTTGTTCATATTTTTGAAATGAATAATTTTCATTTTTAATAAAAACATAAAAATAATTAAATTATCCCCAGTTCAAGCCTGATCACACATAAGAAAATAACGAGTAGCTGAACACAATAATACCAAAACTAAACGTAGTTAAGCTATGCCCGTAGGCACTTCTGTGGGAAATGACTCTAAAACCTTCAAAAAATAAAACATAAGTGGGATAAGGTTTTTATATGGGGACTATGTCTAAACATGGATCTATCGAAAATGTTAAGTGTCGCTTGTCTATGTTCAAGTCATGGGCTACAAATTCCAGGTCATAAATGTAAATCAGCTCTGTTTTGTTGGGTTCCATGACATAGCAACACCTATAAGCAAGACCTCTTCTTAGCTACGATCTTGAGAGGATCCACAAACTTATAGCGAGAAAGCAAAAAACAGATGGAACAACAAATCTGGATGGAAAACCTCAAAATCTATATGGCCTGTAACCTCTAATCGTGAATCTAAAACATTGATTTCTATGGCTATGAAAGACTTATAGATGACTCTAGTGATCATCACAGGTCATTGCAGAATCATGTCTTAACTTTCAAAGTGATAAATTATGGAGGTGAAATACTGTCGTCTATGTGAGGATGAAGAAATTACCGAACGATCAAACATATAGACATTGTAACCTTTTGCTCCCAGATAGACCTCTAAATCATTTACAAATTTGCCAAAAACTTGTCACGGCTATACCTAACTTCTAACTTATCCTTTGCGCTTTTTATACCCTCAACCTACGGACTAATGAGTTTATACACACTTTAATACGGCAAAAATGTGATCGGTAAAATAGAAAATGGTACCTGTCGCTCCCAGGTATGGGTCACAATTTTGAAACGTTTTAAATGTTATATGAAACGGAACCCCATATTTCTGTAGCAGTAGAATTTTACAAGAACAAATAGATCGTTGTAATCAGGACCGTATCACAAGAAAGCGGGCCATAAACTTCACTTGTTCCGTTTTCAAATATACGATACAATTTCTTACCGGCCCCAATAGATGTGTATAATTGTCCACAATCCAAAACACCGGTTCCATACAGACATCTGTAGCATAGGAAGCATTCATGTGGCTATTGTGTGTTAATGAATTCCAGCATAATTTCATATATGACCATCGTAAGTGGAAGTAATTACTGGAATGAAAAAGAAAAAAAAACAAATACCATTTAAAGTTGTACTGGAAAACATATAAAGGGGTGATCGAATAGTTGGTCTGTTGGAAATGTCCATTTCAACTTCAAATCGAGAACCTAGCCCAAAGTTCCATGAACGATTCCAAAAAAGCTTCATTACCATTTATTCATTATTCATTCAACTTACATCAATCCTGCTGATCTCTTATGAAATCTCCAATTTATTCGACCCATTTCGATGCCAAGATTTCCTTAGAATCCTCTATTGCATTGAATAATTGACCAATTCTGATTTGTGGGATGGATACTTTATTTCAATTGCTCTATTTGAATTTTGACTTTATTTTGAGTATTGTACTGGCAGGTTATATCACTAGAGCACCATTGGTTATTGCAACTACCAAAACCTTTAAATCTTATCCAATTCGGAGTTCAACTTCTTTAATTGGCCAAGATAAAAGGTATCTTTGGAAAATAAACCAAAACAAATGCTTCCTCTTTTCGCCGATTTGTAAGCAAAAAAATGGCATGCTAAGTAAATTGATGACCCCCCAGAGGGTTGAAGAGGAAACAAAGAATGAATAATCAAAACAAAAATAAAAAACCGACAAAATTTGGGTTTTCCAAATCGACTCGGGATCTAGTGAACAGCTGATTGAATAGTACAAAGAATATATAATATATGTCGTTGTCTGTATTTTTGGGAGCACTAAATTGTAAAACCAAAAACAGGACTCTTGTTGTCGGTCCTCAAAACCTTAGATGATGGAAGTATTATTTGGGGATCATTGAAATGTTTAGGTGTACGGTAGAATTAGTTATGACATAAGCATAAAGACATAAGGCCATATCAATCAGCTGATCGAACCAAACCTATGAAAAGCAATGAGTTCGACTGTTGTGTCAATATTAATCGAATACAGAACGAAGGAATGCCGAACGCAGACATGACTTCAAACACCTCTGAACGGATAGGGCTATCGAGTGCGGCTTTATAGTCGACGAATAGGTAGAATGTGTTTTTTCCAGGATCTGGCGCAGAGTGAAAATCTGGTCAATGGTGGATTTGCCAGGCCTGAACCCGGATTGTTATGGTCCAATAATGCCATTGACCATTGACTTCAGTCTTTTACACAGCACGCTGGATAGCACTTTATATGCGATGGGAAGGAGACTTATAGTACGTTTACATTTAACCGGATTTTGTTAACCCAGTGGGTTTGAATTGTCAGTTCCTTTGCATATACAAATAAAAACCCTCATAAAGTAGGTTAACCCGGTAAAAAGTTCTAATGTATATGACGTTTTATTCCTGTATAGTTGGCACATATTGACATGTCTCATTTGTTGTGTTCGGGACACAGGAAGCTGAGGTTCCAATCATTGGGCATGCATTCCTCTAGCCATATTGTACTAATCAGCTGGTGCATGCTCCTGACCAGCATCTGGCCACCGATCTTGAATAGTTCGACTGTAACGGAACTATGTATTTAAATCCGTTATATTTGAAATCAGCTGTGCTGTGAAATGTTACCAGATTGAGGAATATTTTTTTAAATTGTGTTACCACTCTAATCCAAATTTATAGAAAAATAACCACGAAAGGCAATAGAAAAATAGAACAAAAAAAAAATAAGAAATCGGAAAGGAAGAAAATTCTTTAACAAAATTAGTTTCCATAAATGTAATAACAAAAAGAAAAAACAATAAATAAATAATAAATTTATAAAAAATCATGGATGTCGATGAACAAGCAGAACCCAGTGAAGGTAATTTTATTATTGTAATTTCAATACTATGGAAAAGTATGGAAAGAAAAATAAATTTTTCTTTACGGTAGATACCAACATAAACGAAGCAACAGAGGGAGAGCAAATTGCGTCGTCGCCTCCCAATCCCAATGTAATAACTGCCCAGGGAACAATACAAAATGGTAGAGAGGTTCCGCAACGTCAAGAAGTAACCACAACAGGAGGAGCAATAGGGCAAACAAATGAAACGACCACAAGTAAATTTCTAGGAACAAATAATGGAGACGGACATCACAATGAAACTATATCAGAGGAGAGAACAGAAGTAGCAGCTGCTGCCAGCAGAAGCCATAATTTGGAATCGAAAAATCCTACTGAGGAGGAACAACAACAAAATGAACAGCAATTGGAAGAAGCCGGCATTGATCCAAATTATCCTTTAGTGGTGGCCAGTCGTGTATCTATTCCCTCGAATAATGACGCCAATCAAGATGAATCTTCCGCTATGGAACAAGACAATGTTCCCGTGGGCGATAATGAGACATCTTCAAATGTAAATGTTTCGTCGGATTTTGCAAATATCCCAGAACGTGCCGTAGATGACGATTCTAATTTGGATTCCTGGCCGGAGAATAATGAAAATGAAGCTGTAAATCAAAATGTACACCAAAATGAAACTGAGAGTATGTTGTCGGAAGAGAGAACATCAGAAGCAGCTGCTCCGGTTGTTGTTCCCAGCAGAAGCCATAGTTCGGAATCGAATAGTATAACTGGTGACGCTGCACAGCCAGCAGAGGAACAACAACAAAATGAACAGCAAATTGAAGAAGCCGGTATCGATCCGAATTATCCCCTAGTGTTAGTCCGACGTGTTTCGTTACCATCCAACAATGACGGCAATCAAGATGAACCCTCCGCTATGGAACAAGATAATGCTGCCAGTGGCGAAAATGATGAACCTTCTATGGTCGAAATTCCACCAAATGTATTGGATTTGTTTCACATTGATCAAGCCGAACGTAATGATGATGCAAATGCCCCAGAACGTGCCGAAGATGAAGATTCCGATTTGGATTCCTGGTCGGAGGACAATGAAGATGAAGCTGCAATAATTGAAAACCCCAATTTACGAGAATTCAGTAATCATTTTGTTGTTATACGTAATATGATTGCGCAGACAAGACGTAGCATGGCGGAGGCTGAGGCCAATATGGGACCATCTGAAATATTACCTCAGATTAGGTTAATGCAACGTTTTCGTCGCATACTCTTCATATTGAACAATCGCCGTCGACGACTTATTCGTTTGGGTATGAACACTCCCGACGAAGAGAACCCAGAAGCGGAAGCTAATGCCGAAATGGAAGCTGTCAATGATGAAATAGCGGCACAACAAAACGCAGACGATCAACAGCGCCTTGAAAATAATCAAAGTGAGGAAAACGAAGAGGGTAGTATGTCGATGGAGCAAGAAGATGAAATGGAAGAATCCGCCGTACGTTTTGATACAAATCTGCCGGCAGAACATTCCTATTTGGGACCGAATATGAATCGTGTGTCGGGGGTCAACTATTTAGATGCCGATCAGTATATTAAATTGCGTTTATTTCTCCATCATAATGTTTTATTTCCTGGCGAAGTTCTACCCTTTATGGTTGATAGTTCGACCACAATCACCGATGGTGATATTGATGCACAAAATGGCATTCTCTTTGGTGTTTGTTTTCCGACACTGACAAATAACAATAGTAGTAGTACCTCAAATGCCGATAGGAAAAATGACCATTTGTTGTATGGTGTTACGTGTCAAATTTACGAATTGGGTACCGATGATCGTGGCAATACATTGATCAAATCAAGAGCATTGCAGAGATTTGTGACGAAAGTTAATGATTTGACAGTGTGAGTATTTTGAATTATGGAATCATCGGAATATTAAATTTCACTTTTATTGATACCGAGATATATATTTTTTAATATAGAGTAGTGATAGAAACTTGGAGTAAAATTATTATCCAATCTTTTGTATGTCTCCATTTCAGACCCATGGAATACATTACCGCCCATCCTCGCATGAAATGTCATGGCTTTGTTAAAATATTACCCGACATTTATTTACCCGAGCCGTTTAAACAAATGAATATGGGTTCGATGAATCGTTTTCGTGATAATGCCTCAATGCAAATAGCCTATCGACGTTTTCAAGCGGCCTCAACCCCATGGCCGGCACATGTTTACGAGGCTCATAATATGGACACAATAATTGAAAAGGCTCGTCAGCGTTTAGAACAACATAAAATCGATACAATGCCATCAGATCCAACACAACTGTCGTATTGGTTGGTACGTAATTTACATTTACCCGAGAAAATGTTAAAATCCGTATTCTTGGCCAATACTGTGAATACACGTCTAAAATTAATTGCCAGTACTTTTAAGGAGGTATGTTCTTGTTTCTATACAAAATGTTGTTCTTAGATTTATTTTTTTTCTACCCAACTAGGATGCCGTTTATATTTGCCGCACCTGTGGCGCACACATAGCAAATTGTCGTGAATTATTTGCCATGTCCAAACATGGTGTCCAATCGCAGTATTGTAATTCTGGTAGGTTGGAAATTAAGCATCTCAACATCTGTATTATTGTTGATTGGAAATATATTTTTGATGTTTATTTCCAGCCGGTTATATCCATGAAACAAATACTGTCTATCACGTAAATCGTCAAAATATTTTATATAGTGGATCACCGTCAACGGAGTTCAGTTGGTTTCCAGGGTAAGTAGTGGTTAAAAAGTTTTCTAGCATTCTATCCACAGGCGTTGTGGTATCATTACTTCGGGCCCAATGCGAGTTAAGTTGAGCAGAAATGACACTCTGTACACCAAGCTCATCTACGTCGACTACATCGATATAATGGGTCGAACATTGCAGAAGGTGGGTGTGGAAGTAAATGGCGAAAAGACCAAGCTGATGGTATTAAAGCGCAATACGTCCAGTAAACTCGGACCAACTGTGGAACTTGAGAACTACAGCTTCGAGGCAGTCAAAGATTTTATATATCTCTGTACAGCCATTAATAAAACTAATGGCATCAGTTTTGAAATTCGGAGAAGAGTAGTATTGGTCAACAGATGCTACTATGGTCTAAGTAAGCAATTTAGAAACAAAGCCACATCTTGTCATATCAAACGCACACTCTACAAGACGCTGATACTACACGTGCTGGTGTATGGATCAGAAGCATGGGTGAGGAAGCCCTTGGAGTGTTTAAAAGTAAAAGTCCACGCAAGTTTTTTTATTTGTACCATCTCATATCATTGATATTCTTCCTGAAGTTTCTGTATAGTGCAATAGTATCAATAAGGCTGTTAGGTTATGGTTCCTCTATTTCCATCTTCAAAAAATGTAGCAACCTGAATGGCTTGTTTCCATAGAAAGTTTGGCTTTTCTGGACAGTTGAAGAGGCGCAACGTGTCGTGTGATTCTATTACATATACAGGGCATGTGTTAGGTGTTATCGATTCGTCAATTCCTGCCCAATAAGAATCGCATCGACGGTTGCACCATCCTGACTTTATTTGAGCTGAGACTACTTGTGTCTGCATATGTATGTATGCGATTCAGACATGCTTAATAGGACTGTTTATCTTGGGGTTTACACTCGTACCTTTGGACCCCTCACTCTAAATCATTAAGATATCTCATGACGTGCCTGGGTCCATAAGACAATGGCAGTGATGCCGCGACGATTAGCCTCCATCAGGCTCGGCATCGACGACATTGTCTTTCCACAAAAATGGTTCTCATGTGTGTGATGAGGAGACATCCTCTTGTAGTTCTCTTGACGCCATTTTGGCAGGTCTAATGGTCTAACATTCGCACTAACACTGACGCCGCATACCTTACCACTGACCAGCCTTATTCCTTAAGGTCCTTGTCAGCGCCCAGCCAGCATCTTGAGGACCTGAGGATGACTTGAAAAGGCTATCGAACATTTCGCCCAATATCTTGAGGTAATTGGTGGTCGGATTTTCATCTCCATGGATCATTTTGTTCAGCGGTAGATTTATTTCAGCCGTGGTGAATAGTGTCACTGCGAACTTGACAACTTGAATAGGCTGTCGAACATTATACCCAATATCACAAGGTAATTGATGGTCGGATGTTGTTCTCCGTCGACAATTTTGTTCAGCGGGATATTCATTTCAGCCGCCTAAGTGGTGCATAGTGTCACTGTGAATTTCGAGGCGGATACTTTTATGTTCCTCAGATTGAAGAAACTTACCATACCAGATATGTAGACGTTAATCCTCTCACAGAGGTGATGATTTTCCGGAAATTCCACCAAGATACCCGTGGGTCTAGACTTCTCTCCGCAGCAGTGATAAACTATCTGAAATTAGCATTCCCAACATTCAGAGAAGAACTAGGTTCAGATATAATAAAATTGGGTGGTTTGATCAGGGGAAAATGATGGTTCGCCTGGTTAAGTCATGCTCTGGTGTCACTATGACGATACCTGACGAGTTGTGACAATCCCTCCTTATCCTTGTAAGGTCATCCTCAATCACCCTGCAAAATATCACTTTGGTCGACTAAGTGATACAACCTTCGGGCCATTACCTAGAACTAAATGCCATAACTCGTGATGGGCATTGAAATTCCATATTATTATATTTTAAAAGTGAACTAATATCGGATAAAAACACCGATCATTCCACGGCAGTCCCACAGTGGATTTTCTTCAATATTTTCGTTACGTTTTTTTAATTATTTCCGTTACGTTTTTTTTTTAATTTTTTTCTTTCCAGTTACCAGTGGCACATTATCGTCTGCAAAATCTGTGAACATCATCTTGGCTGGGAATTTAAAGCTGTCGAGCCGAATCTCAGACCCAAACTATTTTTTGGCATTTCATCGAGCAGTGTTCGAATACGTTCGGCCAGCGAACATGCCAACGATAATGATCGGGGACAGAATACATTTTATCATTTCATACGTCTCATGAATGCTGGTGTAAATATCGAATGAATTCGGTGGGGCACAGTGAAACGATTTTTCGGTAAATGTTGGACGCGATGCTGCTGTAGTTGTTGTACAAGAAGAATCTGACACAGGAGTTGCATGTTAATTAAAATTGTTATGCAAGGGAAGAAACCTTTTTTTGTTTGCCAAAGTGAGAAAGGAAATTGTTTCGACTGTGCGGAATGTGGGAAATTTCGACAAAGAAGAAGGAAAGAAAAAAAAAACAAACAGATTTGTTCTTTTAAAGAAAAATAAGATATAATTAGCAAAACAAAACAAGCCTAACGATTTTAATGTCGTTTATTTGAAAACAAAAATGTTATTTATATTATTTTTACAAATTAAAAAAAAAAACAAATGGAAAACTAAATGATATTCTAATTAAAAAAAATATTCGTTTTAAATGAAACTTTTTTTATTTGTTCTCTTTTTAAGATGAAAGAAAAACAATATCTCCATTTAAACAAACAAAACAAAAAAGAACTTGTGCACTATTATTTTATACATAATTTTTTTATTACATGAAATGAGGGACATGCATAAGGATAAGGAAAGGCTTTAACTGCCTTGAGACTGGCATATTCTATTTATAAAAGGAAATAAAATTAAAACAAAAACATATTTACCATATATAATGGGTTCAATATATTGTAACTCCATTTCAAACTAACTATACTATATGTGTAATAAACAAAAAAACAACAACAAAAAGAAAATAATAAAAATACATTTAATGAAATTATTATTAAATAAATTCAATATTTAGTCATTATTAGTGATGCCAATTTGAAATAAAACTGCAATTTTTTGTTTCTTTGAATATGAATATATTTACGGCGTCTGTATGATTTTGTTCTGACCTGCCTGATATCCTATAAGGCGTGGATTGTTTTCACAATTTGTATAGCCTCTTGATATGCCCTATTTCGTGGTTTTTTGTATAACCTCTTGGTAGGCCCTAAGACGTGGATTTTTTAAACAATTTTTATAGCCTCTTAGTAGGCACGGATAGGTAGTTGGTGTTCGGAATCGGTTCTCCATCGACTATTACTTTCAGTGTGCTACTTCTTTTCAGCCGTCCAAGTGTTGTACATTGTGACTGTGGATTTCGGAGGGGGATATTTTCATATTTCTCTGATGGAGGAGATTCATAAGATCTGCTGTAATGGAATTCGACGTTATGATCGTACAATAATCCGAAAAAATTATGATCTCTATGCCGTCCGGTATCAAAGATCAGCATTAAGAAACCCGATCAGGAGTGTCGTAATGCTACTGATAAAACGCAGTTTATAGTGTAACCCTACAGACAATGGCAATACGCAACGCGATAGAGAATTATCGGGAGAAAATGAGAGAGGAGAAACGTATTTTCATAAAAAGGAAGAAAGAACAAGAAAAAGTTAGCGGGAGAAAATCGAGATGTACAGGAGTCAAAATGAAGTCCGTAAATTGTACCAACAAGTAAAACACCAATCCGAAGGCTTTGGCGCAGGCACATCCTCCTGTAGAGATGAAGAAGGAAACCTGGTGACAGTTACAGACAGCGTGTTGAGGATCTCGAAGGAGCATTTTGAAAAGTTTCTGTTATCAAATAGTGGCGCTGAAGAAAATACCCCAGAAAATATTCTGGTATCAAATAGTGGCGCTGAAGAAGATACCCCAGAACCAAAAAGAGAATACGGACAAGCCAAGATGAGGTCAGAATAGCAATCAATCGGCTGAAGAATAATAAAGCAGCAGGTGCCGATGAATTACCAGCCGAACTATTCAAGACTGGTGATCAGATGCTGGCCAGGAGCTGATTAGTACAATTTGGCTAGAGGAATGCATACCCAATGATTGGAACCTCAGCGTCCTGTGTTCCGTAAACAACAAAAGGTGACAAGTCTCCTTCCCATCGCATATAAAGTGCTATCAAGTGTGCTGTGTGAACGACTGAAGCTAATGGTCAATGACATTATTGGACCATGCCAGATTTTCACTCTGCACCAAATCCTGGAAAAGACCCACGAAAAACACATCGACACATTACATCTATTCGTCGACTAAAAGCCGCATTCGACAGCCCTATCCGTTCAGAGGTCTATAAAGCCATGTCTGCGTTTGACATTCCTGCAAAATTAATACGGCTATGCAGGATAACTTTAACTGGCACAACGTGAGCAGTTAAAGTCGAAAGGACCTCTCGGAGCCCTTTAATAACGAACGAGGATTCAGACAAGGTTACAGTTTGTCGTGTGACCTTTTTAACATCCTGCTGGAAAAGGTCATACGAGAAGCAAAAGTGAACAGAAATGGCACTCTGTACACCAAACAACACATGTTACTCGCCTACGCCGATGACATCGACATAATGTGTCGAACACTGAGAGCGGTAACAGCCACCTTTGAACAAATTTAAAAGGAGTCTGCCAAAGTGGGTCTAATAGTAAACGACGATGGTATCAACGCGCAAGACGTCCAGTAGACTCGGACCAACTGTGGAACAGTGAACAGAAATGGCACTCTGTACATCAAACAACACATGTTACTCGCCTACGCCGATGACATCGACATAATGTGTCGAACACTGAGAGCGGTAACAGCCACCTTTGAACAAATTTAAAAGGAGTCTGCCAAAGTGGGTCTAACAGTAAACGACGATGGTATCAACGCGCAAGACGTCCAGTAGACTCGGACCAACTGTGGAACTTGAGAACTACAGCTTCGAGGTAGTCAAAGATGTTATATACCAACGTAGGTACCGTCATAAACAAAACGAATGACATCAGTTTTGAAATTCGGAGAAGGATAATGGTGGCCAACAGATGCTACTATGGTCTGAGCAAACAACTCAAAAGCAGGGCCACCTCCCGCCCTAAACAGGGCCACCTCCCGCCCTAAACAGGGCCACCACCTCGTACACTAGACTGTTGAATTCATGAGTAAGTACTCACAACCTAGGGTCTTCAGGAGTCACACGACACGTGTTGGAAGGGACGGTGTGTGATCTGACTGTTGTTCTGTTCATGTTTTTACATATTTCTCTCTCTAAATCATGATGATCTCTCCTGAAGAACCTCGGCGAAGAAAGCCTGACCATAGGACTATGAGGTGTCCCCGACAATAACACCCAAACAGGTACTGCATCGACAACATTTAGTTGTATCGATGGAGGGGTATGATGATACATTTTGGTCATGAGGAGACACCCTGTTGCAGTTCTCAGGGCTGCATTCAGCTTGTCTGAATATACTTCCAGTGTGTACCACTTACATTGCAAAACCACACTGGCGCGCTTATGACAAATAAAAAGTGGCTTGCACGGACGACTTGAGAAGGCTGTCGAATGTTACACCAAATATTATGGAGTTGGTGGTCGGAATCTTTTCTCCATCCATCATCATTGTGTTCAGCAGTAGTTTCATTTCTGTCATAAAAGTGATGAACATTGTGCCTGTGTGGATTTACAGAAATAGTCATTTCAAATTGAAATATTAAATAAAACAAATTTCATTACTATTTTATCCTTCCTTCAAGGTATTTTTGCAATTAAATTTTATTCCAGCTTTATAGTATAAACATAAATCTAACAATATTCATATAATAATAGTAGTAATATGATAATATATGATAAGAAATAAAAAATATGTATATAAGAATAAATTTAGTTTTTGTTTTTTCGTTTCATATTTTGTGTTCAATATAGTACATGGAATAGAAACCAAAGGCAGAATATAGATAACATATATTTTGTGTACGTACATAGATATAAAGTATTACAAAGTAAAGTTTCTATATAATGATATTAGCACAAAACTTTTGACAATCATAGATTCCATAGTCCAACAACAAAAAAGAAGATATTTATTTTACAACAAAGTGATTATTTTTTTTAAGTTAATTTTTCATTTAATAATTCATTCAATCAGTCCCAAAGTCTTTTTAGTTTTCAAATAAAATCCAATATAAAATAAATGTTTCGCACACACATTTTACCATAACAAAAACCAAATAAATTTGTCACATTTGTATAAAATCACTTTTTAGTTCGCTTCCTCTTCCTCCAAGTGTAGCCGTGTAATAATTGTAATCGCCGTACATCTACAGTCTCTATAGATCCGATGAGAAATATATACGATTCCGTTTGGGTCAGAAATCACCAACAGTATGCGATATAAATTCAAAATTTTGTTCCATGCTATGTACCATATCGAGACTTTCATCACGAAAATGTTCTTCGACATGTTCACAGAACGATTCGAATGGTATGGTACTATCGTACATTTTACCACACATGGGACAAATTTTATTAGCCTCATCGGCCATGATTTTCTCTTGTAAAATATTCAAATGACTTGATTGTGGTGAAGCTTCTTCCAAGTGTTGTTGTTTGTGTTGCAATATAACAGGTGTCACAGACACATTGGCACCACCGACTCTGGGTGTCTCATTTGCACTGTTGTATGTAGTATACGACAGATGATTATTGTGATTTGTATATTTGGAATCATTGCTTAAACTTTCATCGGTTTCCAAACTTTTATCAGCCATTTCTGGTTTATGACTTTTCTTAGCACAATCCGGGCAGGGGTGTAGAGCTGGAAAGGGAGAAATTGGATGATTAAAAATTTATATTTCATAGAGGGATTAGAAGTTAACAAAAAGGAGTATTATATATATGTTTGGTTGGAAAATAAGGCTACTTTTCAAAAGAAGAGGAGGGGTACAGCCGAGCAAATTGATATCTCAATATTTTGCATGGTGAATGTGGATGTCCCATAAGGATAAGGGGATTTGTCAAATCACGCCAGAGATACAACTTTTAAAAGACACAATTTAAAATCACATTCGCTCTGATCGCATACAATAGTCCCGTTAACAGATCACCCAACATTTTTGAACTCAGAAAGTCGTACTTTACTGAACCAATGCAAAGCTAATTGGCAAGGTTGCAGAGTTTTTCAAACACTGCCTCTGAGAAGTGTCCATCCTCTCAGATCTCAGCTAAGAATAATCGAGAAATAGTCACTACTGCTGCCGCGTGCTATAAACCTGTTGGACGAATATACAAAGTAAGGCCAAACATCCCAGCATACACGACGGCATTGGCCAATAAACATGGCAACAGGCTAGTATGCAAGCACAAAAGGAAAAAGTGGCTAGACCACAAGAAGCAATGCAACAGTATCTAAAATACTTTAGGCGCTACTCCTCCCATCAATAGTAGAAGCAGTTCTCCAATATCCCAACATCGTTTCCGCCTTCAGAGGGCGAGTCTCGGAGGTGAGAGTCTAAATATCCATCTCAGAGATCTGGGTCACTGCCTCCCAAAAGTTTTCCCCCTAAAGCAGGAGTGTCATGCGACCTCGTGCCCATCAGTGTTTTTACGAATTGCAGTCAAGGTGCCTTGTTGATATCTGGGCGCCTCAGAAGTTTATTCAGGTTTAGTTGCCGATTCCTTACCATGGTAAACGGCCGAACTCAAATCCTCACTAAAAACAACTTCCATGAAGACGAATTTTAAAGGGTATACTGAACGCTGAGAAATCCATGATATCATCATCCACGAAAACTGAGGGAAAGGAACTATCGAAGTCAGCCCAAAGGAGAGCCCGTAAAAAAGGCTTCCAAGAAAGCTGATAAGGCACAATATCCCTATACCGATGTATCGAAACCGAAATCTAAGGTTACGATAATTGGGCAGTTGTTGGTGTATAAACCAAAAGTAGCGAAGCAAGTGCCTGCGTTAGCTGGGTCAACCTCTGCAGCAGTTGTCACTCCGGGAACGAAATCTCGACCACAGCTTATAGCAGTCAAGAGAATGAGGACCACGGACGAGCAAAAAACTGCTGCTAAGATACCCTCGCAGTCAGATGCACGGAGTACTGCTTCGTACGCGTCGGTAGTGTCAATGGAGAAACCTACCAAGAGCGGTAAGGGTGTGGTGAAAGCCAAAACAACTGCCTCGAAGGTGGAAGCCCAGGAACCTACACCAGCGCCTAGCGACCCTGCTGCTCCACAAGAGGTACTGGAGAATCTGCGAGTAGCAATCATGGATTGAGCTGATCCCGATGAGATTATCAGTGACGATAAATGTTTGCTGGTCGAAAGTTATCTGAAAGACCTCTTCCTAATCGACGAAACCTACAGTTTTGCCAGATCACCTTGTACGAAGGGGTCAAGGTTGTTAATTGTTTTACTAAGGAGTCTGCGGCACAGAGCTCGTAAAATATGTGTCTGATTGTTAAATCACGACATCGGTCCAATTATTGATAACATATCTTGGAGGATAAACGTCTACATTGATAATCTTTTAAGTTCTTAAATTTCTATCATGTTCCTTAATTCGTTGACCTCTCCGTCGTAAAAACCACTATATATTGTCGATACGGTGCTTTATGGGCTGTTATCGCAGAACATACCTTTCCCTTTTCCTTCATGTCATGTAGATCTTTAAAATCCACAAAAGCTGAAGCATTGCCAAGACAAATACCACTTTGTCTTAGCAAAACTAATATCGAGATGGTACCACCGCCTTAATTCCTAATGGGAACGAATTGAGGTTTCGATACCTAACATAACTGCCCAGCTAAGCTTGCACACCTGGCTCCTAAATCCATGCTATACAGATTGCAACCTTCCTGTATGAATACTAAGGAGTCAGAACTAGACAACAAAATTCTTTTCTTGTATTTCAGTTGTTACAACAACAACCAATATGAAGAAAAACGAAAAGCTAGCGGAATATTCGATAACGTTTACAATTCATCTACGTAGTCACTGATATCTGCTCTCAAGTCTGTCAGAGAGCTCTTTCTCCTCATGACACCATGGGTCTATCTTCATCGGAAGACGAATCATCTCAGGCTTAATCTTATCGATAATAACAATTGTTTTGTTTCACTCACCAATTCGACTCTCTAATAAAGCAAACACCGAATTTAATTCCTTTTGCTGTTTCATTGCTTCGCGACGCATTATCGCCAAATTATCAATGCATTTCTTGGTTTCAGCATTGAAATCTTGTTCCTGTGTGGCATTTGAGTTACTGTCATCATTTAAGTAGCCAAAACCCATGGTGACCTCTGACATACCGCCGCCCTCTTCATTTACAGCAGCCGACATGGGTTTATTTGTACAATCTGTATCGCCGTAGACCTCCAACGCTTCACCTTCTTCCAGACTTATATCACGCATATCTGATTCACAATTATCCACTGTGGCAGTCTTATGACGAATATTGGGAGGATTTGGTGAATTAACCGTTTTCAATGTGAATGTCTTGGAACGTATTAGATTTTGATTTGATAAACCACCAACACCACCGCCAGCATTGCCACGGGGACTTCCCTCGGTTGCTGATGACGCTGCTGTTGCTGCGGCAGCATTATCACTTGCCTCACTTTCTTTGGCTATTTGTGAAAGTCTTGACCAAAGTTTACGATTTTCCGAAGAAACCATATTAATATGGGCCTGCAGTTGGCCATTGAGACGCTGTAGCTCGGATACTTGTAGACGCAATTGAAATGTTTCAGCAACTCCGCCTCCGTTTGTGGCAGTACTTGCCGCATTGTTGGTGTTTTGTGCCAGACGTTCACGTAGCTTTTGATTTTCTTCTTCTACCTCCTTTAGAAGTTTTTGCTGAAGTATACAACGATCTTTCATGGTATCCAATGCCACTCGCAGGGCAAGGTGCTGCTTCTGTTGTCCATTAACATTGTCCATTGTGTGGGAGAGTGAGTGATTGGTCAATTCTTTAGCCAAAAAGTCCTAGGAGATATTCCAATAGCTTATAAAACATTTGGGTAAGTTTAATATTCCCACGAACGAGATGTGAAAAACGAAATGAAAAGCACAAAGAAAATAATGACGACCGAAAAAACACAGTTGTCAAACACAAGTATAGGGATGTATAGATCGAATTTTTACCAAAACGATTTAATGACTGTGTGGAGTAGGGATCGAGAGTTTGAGAGAAACAAAAATAGTGTTGCAAAGTTGCTGGAGATCGGAAGCAATACAAAACGAATAAGTTATGAAAATCTCAGGACAGGGAGTTCAACGATTTAATCCCAAAAACAATCCTGCAACATCAGATATGTCAGTATTTTGAGAGCATCCCAGAATGCTTGTTGCGAGGCGGGGCTGAACGAATCCCGTACCTTGGTACTGTTCGGTTCGATTAAAATGATGGGGGAATATAGAACTCCATCGAAGCTGTGCCCACCTCATAACATCATAATTGCTACGACCTTCAAATAAAATTGATAAGATAGTGGACATAATTAATCGGAAACATATCTGGTCTGTTCCCGTACTGCTAGAATCTTCTACATTTTACTATTTTCTTCGATAACATAAAGGAAAATTCATTATCGTAGTAAAAGGAAGTATGATCTTGCAGTACGGAAACAGACCAATCATAATAATATATCGCAAGAAATCTAGCTCAATGAAAATTGAAGTCACAAGCGTTGTGAGAAGGGTTGAACTGGAACCAGTTGATAAATCTCTCATATTCTAGGCTCTAGGCATTGAATGCTTTAAAATACGTTTATGTGTTACAGCTAACTAGACATAGCCATAGTGGCGTCATGTAGGATAACTGAATTTTTTTGGCTCAGACCACCTCTCCAACAACGCTCCGTTAATAGACCACTCGATTAATACCACCGTTAATAGACTACTCGATCTGGACATTTTTGAACCATTGAAAAACTGACTGACAATATTTCAGAGAAGTTTTTCAATCACCGCTTCAAAGAGCTGCCAATATCGTAAGGTCCTCGGAAAACTAAGATAACTTTCCGTAAAATCCAAACTATTACTTTCGCTCACTCTATAACTGGACGAATACAAGAAGAGAAGAAATTTCCGTAAAATCTCACTACTGATGTCACTCGCTATAAATACGAATGCACGAAATGAAACCAAATTTTAAGGCGACATGAAGGCAACTGTAGGTGATGTGCTTCGTTGTACGGCCCCCGAACAGGCACATGTTAAATTCAAACCCTACAGCAAGGCAACATTAGTTACGTGATCTGATGAGGCGGCGCTAGACTGGACCATCCGGCTCGCTTACGGTCACAGTCTAGCGCCAGCTTTTTAAAGGCACTGTCACTTTTGACGAAATAACGAAGATCCGCGGAGGGGCAGAGCATCCTATATAGTTCCTGTAGCCTAGAGAGTAGGCAGGATGGTCTTGCTACAGAAAAATGGTATGACATACTGTAAGAGGACATGAAGTAGGTCAACCTCGAATCATTGCTTAAACGTTGAGTTATCCTTGTACAAGTCAATTCCCATTGGTGAAACAAGGTGATCCCCAAAGTGAAGTAAATTGTTCTCCTTTTTTCATAGCAAATGACCAAATGCTACTTTTAAAGAAGTAACGAAGATCCACAGAGGAGCAGAGCATCCTATGAAGTTCCTGTAGCCTGGGGAGTAGCACAATGCTCATTGGTGAAACAAAATTATCCCCTAAGGAGAGTAAATTCTCTGGAGATTAGATATACACGAAAATATTCATGATTGTAGGATTGTCTATAATCTACGAACAAGTTGAATATCCATAATGAGAGTGTATTATCTTTAAAATACCAAGCAATATCCAGGGATCCACACTGATCCCGATCGGTATCTCGTGGATCGCAACGGCTGCCAGCTTAGTGCCTTCCAAAAGATGGTCACATCGATGGTCTTATTAAGGAAGTATTAGAACGATAGTTAAAAACTTTGACCTTTTTGTAAACCGTAGGTTCCGTTGATCAACTTAATTGGTCAGGAGAAGATTTTTAGATACCTGCCGACCAGCAACCATTTATCATGATATCCACACTGAGGTAACCATTCCGCTCGGTATCTCGTGGACGGCAACGGCTACCAACTTACTGCCTTCCCAAAGAGGGCCACAGCTGTTAGTTGTCTTCGTAAGGAAGTCCGCAGACTGCTTAGTACGATTGTTAACAACTTTAAAAAGATGATCTGACCAAACCGGAGGTTCCCTCGATAAACTTCATCGGTCAGGAAGATGTCTTCAGATAGCTGTCGACCGGTAAACATTTATCAACACTGATAATCCCGTCGGAGTCAGCTCGATCCATAATTGCCACTCGCCGATCCCTCGGCACCTTTGGTAGAGCGGGAGGGTCGCTAGCGCCGGTGTAGGTTTCTGATATTCCTGCTTCAAGACGATGGGTTTGGATTTCATTACACCCTTACCACTCTTATTAGGATTCTCTATCGACGCGTACGAAGCAGTATTTCGTATATCTAACGACTTCGTGGGTCTCTTAGTAGCAGGTTGTTTCTCATCTGAGGACCTCATTCTCTTCAATGCGTCTATGTATCCCTAAACCGAAATAGGTATTTAGAAATCGATTTTTTAAACCGTTAATTATGCCCGGAGAACAATAACAAAATCAGCTGTTCGCCTCCAAAACATTTTCGTAGCGCAATGCTTTTATCAAGAAATATAATAAATTGTTTTAAATTTAAAAGAAAATATTATTGCTCGCAAAATTATTCAACAGAGATCAAAAGTAATGGGCTGAAGGTATTGTTTTTTGGTACGGATACATTTTCCCTGCCCAGTTTGAAAGTGTTACACAAGCATAATGGGAGGTTAGTGCCATAGCGATTACAATACCCATAACTACTATAATGGAATGTTGTTTTCTTTCTATCTCCAAAGCAATGACCAACTGGGAGTGGTAACATCCTTCAAAAGTCCGGCAAATTGTGTACGTGTCTATGCGGAACAACAAAAACTATTGCTACACAAATGGCCCATTACACCGGAACATTGTAGGCCCTTTGATTTGGGTGTTGTGGTATCATTTGGGCATTTAATACCAACACCTATTATTAAGGCATTTCCACTGTAAGCAGATTTTAAATTAACTTTAAAACATAACCATTAAATTGAAAATGTTTACAGAGGCATGATTAACGTCCACGCCAGCTTGTTACCCCGTTGGCGTGGTGCCGCTCCCATAATTTATTCCATTATGAATGGTGATCAAGAGACGGGTGTTAGTATTATGCGTATTGAACCCAAACGTTTTGATGTTGGTGATGTAGGTAGGCATATTCGCAAGATATTAATTGGTCTTAAAGAAAATATTTCTCCCTTGAAGGTATTTGCCCAGCAAAAGGTTAAAATAGATCCGGGGGTATTTATGCCTGAGTTACATAAGGAGTTGTCGGAAAAGGGAGCAGATCTACTGTGGCAAGTTATTTCAGAGTATCCGAAATCATTTGAGAATCCCATGAAACAAAATGATCAAGAGGCAACATATGGTGGGTGTTATATATTATAACTCTTTATACTATAATATATAAATATTAAATAAATTATTTCGTTAAAGCCCCCAAAATAACCCCCGATATATATGAAATCAACTGGAATCGCCTCACAGCCTTGGAAGTTTTTAATCGCCACAGAGCCTTATACGGTTTTAAATCCCTAACCTCAAAATTCCAACAAAAGTCAATAGAGTTATTGGAAATTAGTTTACCCGCTCAAACATCGGCTACGGAAGGTTCCAGTTCTTCACCCGGTTCCTTATCCTACCACTATAAACGTAAATGCCTAAGGGTACAATGTGCCAATAATACCTTTATAGAAGTCCACCGTTTGCGCATTGAGGGCAAAAAGGCCATGAGTGCTATGGATTTTAATAATGGCTTCCTAAAGAAGTTGCAATCGTCGGAAATGGAATTTCAATATAATAAAGTTATTTGTTGCTAGTATAATTGGAAATTTTCTGGAATATTATTTTTTTACTGCAAGAATATTTTCCTTGATTACTGCAGGATAACTTTAACTGGCACGAGGTCAGCAGTTAGATGAGGAAAGGACCTATCGGAGCCCTTTAATACAGAACGAGGATTCAGACAAGGTGACAGTTTGTCACGAGACCTTTTTAACATCCTCCTAAAACAGCACATGTTACTCGCCTACGCCGATGGCATCGCTATATTGGGTCGAACATTGCGAGTGGTAACATCCACCATTGAACAAATTAAAAGGGAGTCTGCCAAAGTGTGTCTGGCAGTAAATGGTGAGAAGACCAAGCTGATGGTATCAACGTGCAATACGTCCAGTAGACTCGGACCAACTGTGGAACTTGACAATTTTCAGCAGTGAATTAGTCAAAATACATTGGTACCGCCATAAATAAAACTAATGACACCAGTTTTGAAATTCAGAGGAGAAAAGTGTTGGCCAACAGATGCTGCTAGACCATAGTGGCATCTGTTGGCCAACATATAAGCAATTCCTTAAATGGTCTTCTCAACAAGATCCTTCAAATGGCGTTTTTCAAAAACACTTTCTAAATGGTCTTCTCTAGGAGACCCTTCTAAGGAAATTCTAAAGAGAATCCTTCAAATGACCTTTAGAAGACCCATAAAATGGTCATCTAGAAGATCCTTCAAATTACCTTCTTAGGAAGATCCTTCAAATGGTCTTCTATAGATAGAAACCCTTCAAATGGTATTTTATAGCATGAAGACTCATCAAATGGTCTTCTATAGGACAACGACACTTCAAATGGTCTTCTATAGATAGAATAAGACCCTCCAAGTATTCTATTGATAGAAGACCCTTCAAATAGTCTTCTATAGATAGAATACCCTTCAAATGGTCTTCTCTAGATTGAAGACCCTCCAAGTGGTATTTTTAGATAGAACTCTTCAAGTGGTCTTCTTTAGGTAGAATACCCTTCAAATGGTCTTCATAGAAGAAGACCATTTGAAGGGTCTTCTACAAGTTGAATATACTTCAAATGGTCTCCGATAAATGGAAGACCTTTCAGATGATCTTCTATAGATAGAAGATCTTTCAAATGATCTCCGATAGATGAATACAATTTAAATGTTCCTTTATAGGTCAAAGGCCCTGCAAGGGTTTTTCTAAAAGCCGAAGTCCAACATAAGCGTTGATTATTCAGAAACTTTTTTTTCGATTACGAACATAAGCGCAGATTATTACATCGATTAATGGTTTGTTTATAGGTCGAAGACTATTTAAATGTTCTTTTATAGACCGAAGCCCGGTAAAGGTTCTTCTATAAACCGAAGTCCATTTAAATGTTTTATAAAAATAAGGTTCTTAAAATGTTCCTTTATAGACCGACGATTTATGAAATCTTCGTATCCGAAATAATTTACATTTCAACAATTCTACTTTTTTATTTGTTTTAAACAATATAGATTACATTATTACACTTAAGCCAAATCATTTGGTTTAACTTCTTTGGAATTCGATGGCTGCTGTGTGGTCTTCTGCAACAAATTCTTTGTGAACCAAATTGGACGTGGTTTTGGCATTTCAACAATACGTTTTCCATTCAACATTTCCGATGGTTGTTCACCGCGTTCTCCCTCATACAGCACCACAACATCCTGTTCAATTGGATTTAGCCCCAACTGCTCTTGAATTTTATCTTGCATTTGTTTGGTTTCATCGCGCACCTTATTGTAGCAGTGTGGACACAGGTGGCCAGCTTCATAATCATGACCACATTGATTGCATGAACGTAAATGTGTCTTGACACGCAACAGCTTCCAATTGTATTCGGGATAGCCGAATTTACGATTCAGACGTTTCTCGATGGTGCGACGATGTTTGGGTACAGCCCATAGGATGCCATCACCAATGATGTCTTTTAGGGAACGTGAAGGAGTTTGATTGCGGGTGAGGCGATCGTATGTCGATGGTAGACCGGCCACAGCAAATGCTAAGGGGAAAGAAGGGAGAGAGAGAGAGCTATAGAAAGAGGAGAAAATTGTATGGTATTTTACACACCTGGTGGCAATGATCCCTGAGGGAATATGGCCGGCAGCAATGCCTCCAATCTTTGCAAGAAGTTTGAGAAATACAATGCCAGATTCCGCGACATTTTTAATTTAATTTTGTGGCGAATAAAATAAAAATGCGGCTCTGCTCCCTAAACTATTACGAAAACAATGTTTATCGTCATCTCTCTGTGTCTGACATTCGTACATATGTTTTGCTAACAGTGTGTAGCCAGATTGTGCGGTTATAAATGAGAAATGCCAGATTGCACGAGGTATTAAGGGGGATATATTAAAAAATAATAATTGGTACAGAAATAGGTATCGAGATCTATAAAAAAACCATCTGAAGGGTCTTATATCTACGGAAGACCATCTGAAGTTTCTTCGTAGCCCTACTGCTTCTGAGCTGAGGTGAAAGATGTTGGTCGACTTAAACTTGGGTCGTTCCGGATCGTAGACCCCTCTGGCTGCCCCAGTGAATATTGGATACATTGTCATCACAGCTCAAATTCAGGTCAACAATGTCATTAATATCCTCCTGAGGGTTGCAAACTTCTACTCCTGGCTGGTCGGGGGCCTCCTAAGACGCCAAGCCGAAGAATACGATGAAAGGTCTCCGTCAATGCCAAATTTCAGCTGTCAGCGCTGAAGACTGTACAGTTCTTGCAACATAATCCAGTTACAATATTATTTTACAAATATGGCCCCGGGATTTTTGCGATGTCGATATTAGAGGAGGTCAGGATAATGAAAAGTTCAGCAGCTGTCGCCATACAATGATGCAGCAAACTTTATTGCCTTTTTAAGTCCACAAAAGGCGGCGGAACCAGACCTCTGTCATATTTCAACACATTATCCCGCAACTATCGCCATTTTACCATCTACCCAAAGGGGATCATTGTACTTAGCAGTTTTCTGAAGGTTCAGACGACCAACTTCGTCAGTAGGGAGAAGGTACTTTAGATACTGATCGACTGAAAACAAGTTGTTGTTGATGTACCCACGGTATTAGTTCGGTCTTCGGGAACCCCTGGATGAGTAAAAATGTCACAATGATCTTGGGGCACAGAAAACTGATTCGTATGCATCGGTACGTCGATGAAGCCCCCTACCAAGATTGGAAAGGAAAAGGCGAAAGCATTCTGCCTCACAGCAAGACTGTCACAGATCGATGTCTGCTCGTCATGTTGCTGCGTTTATGTCTTAAAGTTGCAGAAATTGATGCTTTGCGTTCGCCACTTTTAGTGGTTGTTGGACCTGTCCAGCAGTTATCGTACTTTCATAACCCTTGTTCTGATTTTTGACTGATATAATTCATATAATGGTTTGTTTTGTTGGTGGGAGGGGGATTGCGTCAAGGATATATATATATATTTTTTTTGAGAGCGTTTACCGCCTCTACCTCTAGCAGACTCTCCTGCCTTTATTCGACATCGTTGATGATGCCATGGATTTCCCTTCGAAGGTTCTGGTTGATCAGAGATCCAGTTGATATTACCCCATTCGGCTACACAGAGTTTTTTCTTCCGTTGGACGGTTAACTTTAGTAATCTTTACCCGGAATGTTAGAATTCTTTCGATCGACTGATAAGTCACCAATAGTTCCTTGAGAACATAATGGTCTCTATACCGACCAATAGGTCTGTTCTAAAGACCTGTGGACTCTATAAAGACAATTTGGTCTTTATAAAGACCTCTGGTTTCCATACAGACCAATTAGTCTTTAAAAAGACCTTTGGTAACCATACAGACCAATTGGTCTTTATAAAGACCAGTGGTCTCTAATTGGTCTTTATAAATACCTTGTACAGACCAATTGGTCTTTATATAGAAATATTGTATGTATACAGACCAATTGGCCTTTAAAAAATCCTGTGGTTTTCTATACCGACCAAATGGCTTGTATAGAACGGTTTCCATTTGGAAATTCCGAAAGAAAATGCTTGCCATTCAATCACCAACTAATTCTGCCATTTGCCACAAAATGTTCCGTAAACATTTTAAGGTGCACCCTAAATTCTTAACCATTTGATTTTTTATTTGTTTTGACATTGAATTTCGCAACACATGTTCACAGAGTCCACCGACACAAGAGTTAACTTTAAAAATCATCTGTTTTGGGGTTACGTCAAAAAAATTTCAATATTAAATAGAAAGTTCCTATTTCTTCTTCTCAGTGGCATAGAGCATAAGCATAACATAAATAAAAACAACAACAATACTAACAAAAAAATGTGTCAATAATCCAATTGGAATAAATTACTAATATCGATGATTAGATAAAGAGCGGGGTCGTGTAAAGTTACAACGATTGTCAATGTAAATATTTTGTGCGTGACAGCAGCGGGACTATTGGATAACACCATCGAACTGAACAACAGCTGTGTGTTGTTGCAGCATTGCGTCGAAAGATCAAGGTGACCGTAAAATTGAAGAAAGAAAAGTGTTGTGGCGTCGACCGATACTACTACTCCTCATCAGCACATTACAACTAAATCCAACTGTAACAGCATCTCTGCTGAATATCACAAACGTTTTGGTGCCCATATACAGAATGTCGCACATGATTATTGAATGAAAATTGTTGCTGTTGATGCTAAAGGTAAAGACAACCTGACCAATCAAGTACCAAGTTCACATCAACAGGCTAGCTATTTGGAAAGACCGCGCCGAAGACGACGACAACAGTATTCACCACTGTACACGTTTACGTTGCGGGAGAGAGGTAAGAGTTAACATTCAAAACCTCTCTCTCTCTCTCTCTCTGTGTCTCTTTTACAAATATTACGTTTGTGCCAACAACAAAAACAACGACGGCTTTGATTTGTCTTAAAGCTTTCTTGGCTAAGGCGCAGGCGCCTCTGCTATTAAACAAGTTTCATCTGAAGGTTTAGCATTTTAGCCACAGCCAACACCAGCGTCGCCAGCGTACCCAGCGAGCGAGTCAAACTAAGCTCAGAGGCACTTGCAGCTTAAAACACGAAACACTTTGTTGAAGCCGTTGGAACTAAACGCAACAAAAATTGTCTCTAAGCCGTCGTCCACCCGGGTTGTCGCTGTGTGTAACCGAAAAAGTAAAAATTGAAAAAGAAAATTTTTGAAATTTAAAGAAAAAGAAATATTCAAAAAAAGAATAGCCAGAAGAGGTCACTAAACTTTTTTCGTTAAGTAAAAAGTTCAAAAACGAGTTACCCCAAACGAAAACAATTCTTGTGTTATAACAGAAAAAAGAAGGAATAATAAAAATTTCCATATTAATGCATAACGAAAAAGAAAGTCAGACAAGATAAAATAACCAAATGAAGTCGGCACTGTCGTGATTATTTATTATTTTCCAAAATAAAAGTGTAATACAAAAAATCCAGTGTCCTTAAACTTCCCACCTTGAAAAATAAAAAAAAAATTTCGGTACTTAAAAATAACATACCCAGCATAAAATATCGCAATTGTCTAACGTTTTCTAATTATTTAAAAAAATCGTACCAAAAAATAAATATGGCCTGTTTGAGTACTTCCGGTCGCCAAGGACTGTTTGTGGCAGTCGGTACGCGTCGTTATCACAATCACAAATATCTATGTCAACTAATGCTGCAACCGCAATTGCAGCCGCAATCGAATAACACCCACAACTCCACCAATACTACCACCCCACGTAGATCGTTGAGCAGTGCCACCACCAATAATAAAACTGGTATTGTTGCCACAACTTCAAGGTTGTTGAGCTGTAATGCCATAAAAACTTCCGCTTCCTTGTCCAACGCACCAACAACATCATCATCGTCGTCGTCATTGCAGCATAACTTTAAACGTTACTATCATGGATTAAAAGATGTTAACCACAATAGTAATATCTTCAATGTTATGGTAAGTTGCATGTTGTTGTTGATTTGTTTTTTTATGAGAAGAAAGGTGTACTTTTAATACAATGTTATTCTTTTTATTTTAGAAAGCTATATAGAGGCTATAGGGGTTGTAAAGGAATTGAGGAATAATTGGGTTAGGAAAAAAACATTGAAAACAAAAATCGAATATGCCCTAATTAGTGATCTGAAAAAAATATTCAGAAGGCAAATCTATTTTCTGAATGAAAATTCAAAATAAAATTCAATCTCATATTTGTACAGCAGAAAGGTTTTGCCAATTGAAAAATCAAATACTTTTTACTCCACAGCAACAATGGTCAAACAGAGGATAAGGCAACGATACTGTTACCACAAAATGTCTGCAACCGTTTTGTGCTTTTCTCTTAGGAATTAAAAAAATATGCATAGAATAGCATTTCCAATATATTGTTTATCCTTTTTACAATTGCGTCTGAGTAAAATTTAACCTATACACAGATCAATAACTTTTTAGTTTAACCGAAATATATCTAAACAGTGTTTGGCGCTTTAAAAATTTACAGGACACCCTATAAATTATATCTTCCTGTTTAGAATAAAATTCCATGACAATAAAATGCTAAATGTTCGGCATTTTGGCCTCTTTTTTAAACACAACTGAATATTTTTACAAAAAACTATCAATATTGGTTCCCTAAATATTAACCGATCTTTACCAAAAACAATAGGAGTCTTTATTAGCCAGAACCCATCTTATATGCAAAATTTCGTGAAGATAGGTTCATAACTGTGGCCTGTATCGTGTTTACAATTTATAATGAACAGACGGACACACATGTCTAGATCGACTCAGCTAGTCGATATATGATCGGTATACTTAGAGTTGGGTCTAGTATTAATATTTCGCGGCGTTACAAACTCTTGGAGCTGCACAAAGCTATAATACCCTGACAGAATAGTTGTGTAGGGTATAAAAATCCAACACTCATACAATATAACAAAAATATTTTTAAAAATCCAAACCCTTTATGATCCTCGAAAAAATTTAAAAACCCTAGTCTTCTATAGTCCTCGAAAAAAAAAATTAAAGAAAAAAATCAGAACTTATATTGTCCCCAAAACATCAAATCCACATCTTGTCTTCCCCATTCTATATCTGACAATTCCTCAAAAACTCTCTCTCTCTCCCTCTCTTTTTATTCTGATAGTTGATTTTCAAAAGTCTTTAAAAATTCACTCTTTTAAATCTTTTGGTTCTTCGAGC